ACATGGCCGATGTCCCCAAGGGGTGCGCGGGTACGGGACCCTGCTCAGCCCGGCCGTGCCCGTGTCGTTGCAGGGAGCGAAGCCGAAGGTAGCGCTGCCGGTGCCGGGCGATGATGCCCTTTGGCGGGATGGCTGCTCGACTGGCTCAGGACCGCCTGAGGGCTGAGGGGCTTGGCCAACACGACAACGCCATCAAGTACCTCAACCAGGACTATGAGGCCCTCAAACAGGAGTGCATTGAGAGTGGCACCCTCTTTAGGGACCCCCAGTTCCCAGCGGGCCCCTCTGCCCTTGGGTTCAAGGAGCTGGGGCCGCACTCCAGCAAGACACGAGGCGTGGAGTGGAAGCGTCCGTCGGTAAGTGCTGGGCTTGCTTCTCCTCTGGCTGGGCTGGTGTCCTTGCCCTGCAATGTCTGCACTGACATGGTTTGCTGAGCTGCAGCCTGGCTCTAGCCTGATGCTCCCAGTGCTCAGAGTCCCTCGAGTGCTTCATAGCCTCCTTTCCCAAGGGCCTAGAGCAATGTCCCATGCGTGTCTGCTCAGAAAAGCATCATGTCTAGCAGGCCCTGCTTCCTCTGGGCAGCAGACCACGGGCTCTAGCATGAGTGGGCTATGTCATTACTTCTAGATGTGGTGGCATGGATATGTCACCCTCGGTGACTGGGGCTTTTGAGGGCATAAATCCCCTAGTGCCATGAGTGCAAGGGGAATGCCTTTAGTCTGTCTGGCCATGTCCTCCCACGGCTACAGCAGAAGATCTTGCTTGCCTTGCTCTGATGGCCTTGGGGTTGTAGTCAGGCAGATTTCCCTGGCAGTGGGCAGGTGGGGTGCATCTCTTGGGTACCATATACCCTTCCTCCTGAGTCAGAGCTGCAGCGGGTGCGAGCCCAGCAGAAACCCAGGCCCTCCCAAGATCCAGTACCACCATCTGATTCTTCCCTCTTCCTGCAGGAATTAGTGGATGACCCTCAGTTCATCGTTGGTGGTGCCACCCGGACGGATATCTGCCAGGGGGCTCTGGGTGAGTGCTGGAGCTCTGTCCCTGGACCAGCAGCAGCTGGGGAGGGTTGGCATGACTGGAGAAGAGGTGTTTGTGTAAGGGAGGGGCTGAGGGTGGACAGCTTTCACAGCACCTTTCCCCAGGCTCGTGCAGTGTGTTTTCATGCCAGCCTCTGTACAACCAACTCCATACCAAAGGCTCCCTTCGCATTTAGTGTGGTGGAAACTAGAAGGTGGGGAACACCTTGTGGCTCCTGGTAGCTCTAAGTTAAGGTTCCATGAAAATGGGTTGATGTGTGCACAGCTTGACCACACTAAGATCAGGAGAGATGTCAGGTGGATCTGTGCCTGACATGTACTGACAACAGGAGGAGCTGCTCCAGAATGCTCCCTGCTTTGATAAATGGAGAGGGATGGCAGCTGGATGACAGTAACAAACTGAGGTGAGGATGTGCTGGTCATGACAAAGTGCTTGTGAAGCAATGGAGTGTGGCAGAAGGGAATTGAAAGGAGAGCTATGGAGTACAAGTGGTGATTTGTCCTTTCTCAAGGGTGTCTCCCAAGGCAAAGGCACTGAGACAAGGAGAGCAGTGTTTATGGGCTGGGTAGGCTGTCAAGGCTGCCAACTGGGATTTTGTGGTCATCAGAACCAGATCTGGGTACCACCAAAAGTGTTGTCCTGATATGGATCAAGCTTGACTGAGAGTATCGTGTACCTTAGCACACACAGCGTGCTGGTGTCAGGACTGACCACATTTAGTGCATCCAGTAATTAGAACAAACTTGAAGTGGTAACTGAAGCATCTCAACAGCCCAGAGCACTTCAGTGGTTGTTCAGTTGGTCATTAAAACGTCTGAAATGCCATTTTGTCAAACCACAGCCTAGTACAGGTTATCCCGGCTCAAGGCTGAGGTGTGACAGGCTTTGAAGGCAAAAGAGAAAGAGGAACCAGGGCAGAGAATTTAAAACACAGTGCTGGCCTGGAGCAGCACTTCTGGTTAAGAGCACTTGGAAGGAAAAAATGCAGTGGTGTTGCTCACAATTTAAGAAGCTGGGGCAGCAGCATTAAACTTCTCACTTGGTAAAATGGTTTCTTAAATGCAAAGTGTAATTCTGCTGCAGAACTCACTGTCTGAGATGTGGAGGGCACTCATACAAATGAGTCCCAGGAGGATCTAGATGAACAGCTGTAGGAGGGGGCTGTTGGTGCTGACTGTACATGATGGTCTGGACTTAGGCTCCTAAGGTCAGGGAGGATCATTCCCTTGAGCTAATACTGCTCAGGGAGCCGGCCAGTCTGGGTGAGCCTGGCTCCCTGAGCTCTGTCTGTCTGCTGGACTCTCTCCTGTTTCTTCACATAGTTTTTGAGCTGAGGAGCCCCAAGCATTTGCAAGGAGAGCACACTGTGGGCTCCTACACAACCACCACCTCCCCCCAGGCTAGGGAGGCAGTGGGGGCTCGTGCTACCTTCCTCTCCCTCCCCAGGTGACTGCTGGCTGCTGGCTGCCATCGGCTCCCTCACACTCAACGAGGAGCTCCTGCACCGCGTGGTGCCCCATGGGCAGAGCTTCCAGGAGGACTATGCTGGCATCTTCCACTTCCAGGTGGGCTGGAAGCTCCTGGGCCTCAATGGTTGGTGGGCTGGGTTTGGTGCAGGAGGGAGGGCGGTGGGCTGAGGGCATCCTTCTGGGGTAGGGTTGATCAAGTCTTGTGATGCTCTGAGCTCACGCCACTCTCTCCTGACCCCCTAGATCTGGCAGTTTGGTGAGTGGGTGGACGTGGTGGTGGACGACCAGCTGCCCACCAAGGACGGGGAGCTGTTGTTCGTGCACTCAGCAGAGTGCACCGAGTTCTGGAGTGCTCTACTGGAGAAGGCCTACGCCAAGTGGGTACCCTCATGGCGGGCACGTGGGTGGGTGGGGGACAAGGCACCTCACTGTGCGGG